ATTTTATTGTTTCGTGCGCCTTTTTTAATGCGTATTATAAAATTAATATAAACCTTATAGCATGTCAGGAGCACGTATCGTAGTACACTTGGTGCATGCACTTAAAGCTGGAGAAAAAGGCGTCGCATCAATTTGCAATGGGGGCGGCGGAGCGTCATCAATCCTAATTGAAAAATTGTAAGTTCGAAGATTATCATGGATGCCATTTCCATTTGCATAAACTGGGTAATCTATTTTTAATATCGCGATAATATGAATTGTACATAAAAAAGCAGTTATTTTTATACCAAACGGTATGTTGTTAAAGTACTGTATCGTATAACTGTTAAATAGTTGTTAAAATACTGTAACTGAAAAGCTTCAGCTTTTCTTATTTGTATAAGATTATTGTTTTATAGAGTATTTTACATTTTTCTACGATATATGTACATATAGAATGGTGGCTTTTAAATACGTGGAAGTATTTAAAAAACATTTTTTACGATATATTTTTATTATACATTTTATTGTACTGCTCAAAACGCATGTCTCGTTGCATTATATATTTTGTTGTATGAATATATAAAAATAAACTGTTTTACATCAATAACTTGATTAATTTTCTTGACTTTTATGTTGAATTGTAATGTGCAAAGGAGATCTCTCAAAAGTGGAAGCATGTTATATGATTTTTAGGTCTCATCCGATAGCTTCTCCATTAAAATTAACATTGTACACAAAGAGCCCGTGTCTGCTTTGCGACGTTTTAAAGAACGAACTGCGTTTACGTTTCGCCGGTCGTTATCAATTGGAAGAAGTTGATATAGCTGCACAAGGAAACGAACGGTATTTCCACTTGTATAAGAATGATATACCAGTCCTCTTTTTAGAAGGTCAGTATCTGTGCAAACATCGATTAGACGCCGACTTGTTAGAAAGGAGACTTGATGAATTGGTTTCAAGGAAAGATAAATGTACATATTAATAAGATGTTAAAACTTTTACTATTGTTATATTCGTTTAAATGTATCAATTTTATTATATATGTCATATAATAAAATTTTATTTTGTATATATAATAAGATGTACATATACATATTAAATATATGTAAAATATGTAGAAAAAAATCATATGTTTTAGTTTACACAGTGGACTATATCATTTTGATAAAATTTCAAAAACTTCAAAAAATATTTTTATAACATTTTGTACAATGATAATATCATTCAATAAAAAAATATACACGAACGAAGATAATCGTTTCTCAAACTTTTTTTTAGTACTGGTGAATATAATTCTATATACCAAATTGTTCTATCAAGTTAATATTTTAGTGTATTTTGACATATTAATAAACCACGTATCATATGTTTAAAAAGATATTTTTATGATTAATGTAAGATCTGTTGCATCAAAGTTATATAACTTACACAGGCTATTAAGAATTTATCAAATATTTTTTAATTATAATTGACAAAACAAATTCCTTTTAAAGACTAAAAGTCCTAGCAACATTAATTGTGACTAATAAAATTTCTCTAAAACGTTATATATCGTAGTTATAATATAAAATACACTAATGTAACTTTTTTGCGAGTTTTACTGCAAATTTTTCAATGTTATGTAATTAAAGTAATTTTTATTTTGTAATATATGATACGTATGTATATATGATATGTAATATATAATAGTTCCTTTAATCAAATAAAGGATTACAAATCTGTTTACCTTCTCTGAATAATTTATTTTTTTTTTTTTTTTTATTGAAAATCTACGTTTCTTTTCTAAGATACTTGTTTTATTAATTTCACTTGTATTTAATCGCGCGTGTAGGCTGTAAGTTTATGGCTATGG